ACTATAAATTGTACTATATTTATGTATCAGCTGGCTCCAAGTATACACAAACAGGCATGTTTGAAGTTACCAAAGCTGAAGAAGAAGAAAAAAATAGTAATAGCCCACCAGCTTCACCCAATACTGGTAGCAGCATGTCAGGACAATCTCATGGACCCTCAAATTCAAAAGCATCCGCCTTGCGCGTAACCATACCCAGCGAGTTACAAGGTGTTGCATACATCGAAGTATTATGTCAGAAAGGTAATATAAATTAAAGAGAGCAATTCATGTGCGTGTGTGTGTGTGTGTGTGCGAGCGTGCATGCGTGCGTGCGTGCATGAAAAGTATGTACACATTAAACACAAATGAGTAAACATACGTTTGTTTAGATCAAGAAGATTTGTGCAGTGCAAATATAAGCTTGCTTAATAGCAGTGCAAATAATTCGAATACTGATATGCATTGGCAGCAAAAATTAGAGGCTGCACAGAACGTTCTGTTTTGCAAGGAACTGTTTAGTCAATTAGCGCGAGAGGCTGTGCATTTACGCGCGCCTATACCTCACATGGTTGTCGGAAATCAGATAATGGCCACGGTATGTATCTTGCAAATAGAAATCAAGAGTTTCTTGTATAATATTCTTTACCTCAGACTGAACATACACGCGCGCGTGCTCGCGCGCACGCACACACAAAATATATAATATATACACGGTGTAGTCCAGATCATCCACAAGAGCCGGCATGTATATACTGTTTATGGAAAACTGAATCGAAAAGTCTTCTGCCATTTTGCAATGGTCGCAACAATTAACGAGATATTAATTTCTACAAATTGTAGAATAAATGGTTAAAATTGATGTATAAGATAACATTAAGATGTCTTTCAAAGTTCTTTATGAAATATCTCTAAGATATTTCTTAAAGAACTCTTAAAGATATCCTAAAGTTGTCTTATGCATCGATTTTAGATATTCTGCTTATTGAGTAATTAAAAAAAAATTGCAGAAATTACAAAATGGTGGAGAACTTTTTGATTCATAAACAGACTACGTACATACTGGCTAGTACGGGTGATCTGGATCATCCTATACTTATAAAGAAAAATTTGTTTTCTTTGATATTTATACCAGGTACTTCCAGGAATTCAGTTAATAATTGGCCTGTGCCATAGCACAGGCAACGACAAAAAACCTACGGCTCCACCACCACACAAAACAGATCACGATCATGTATTAGAGCACTCTCTGCATCAACTGTTACGCGAAGTACATTACAATAATAGTAATCATCCATTTCCTCATCCTGCATCGGGACCTCTTGGGCCTAGTAAACGCAGATATATAGCCGGCCCTACCGCTGCCGACAGATACGAGCTTTTAGAAATGACAAAGAGTCAGACGCTTTTAGAACAAATTATCCAACAAGCACAACATTTTTTCATGCGTTTGCGTACAGAATATGTATTAGACACGATAGCAAAAGAAGTGAAAGATCCGCTTATCGTTTCACATTGGAATGCGTTGAATTCGCCGACGCAGTCCTGCGTAAAAATAAATATCTTAACACATGGATACGATAGCGTATGTCGGACATCGATGGTCGTTCATGTCGGTGAAAAGTCACTGAAATGTGTGTGTCGCGATGGTAGAGTCATGCACATGAGTTACGAGCCTCAGGAACTAAGGGATTTAATTTTTTGTCAGGTCAGTTGTTTTTATCTTATCAACATTTGTAAAATGTTAACTCGTATGATTAAAAAATGTCAAATTTGACATATAAAACATTCTTTTATTGTATCGGTAAAATATCACAATATTTGTTTCTTATACGCAGATTTATCAGCATCAAATTAGCGCGGTACAGGCTCTAGCCAAGTGTATGGGTTGGCAATTCTTAGCAAACAGCTCACACCTCGGCCTAGGTTCAGTGGAGCCTCTGGGAAACGCCAGTAGTTGTATCCTAGCTTCGCCAATTGGTGATAGGTATTTTATAGTTCAAATTTATGACACGGGAGAAAGAATGTATGCCTATCTGTTATTTACACATCATTTAATATGTTTGTAGAATGATAGCTGTACGATGTGAACCGCAAACGGGCGTGCAAGTCGCCATTGCACATTCTCCCCGAAAGGATTTCTTTCCTGGTCAACTTGTTCGAGAAAGAAAATGGGAGAATCTGGGAGGTTCTTTTAAAGAAGTTAGATGGGACAAAATGGAAGGGAAGAATTTTCTCAACAAGATGGAGCTACTTATGGCTTCTTTAACAAGTTCTTAAATGTTGCAAATTACTTGTCAAACTTTTGTATATTTTTTTTTATGGGATTGAAAAGATTCTCTATATTTTTCTATATCTTAATCTTTGCTTAGCAGCTTAAAAACTAAATTATTATTGCACGCACAATCTATTTAGTGTAATAAAAAAGAACGAAATGAATTTTTTGTTCCAAGTTGATAATATGCAAGACGCATTTTTATTTCATGCACGTGTGCTCGAGTAATAAATGGTGTGAAATAATGGGAAAGAAAAAATTAAGTTTAAGGTTAAGTTGAAAAAATACAGGAAATCTCTGTCCCGTTGAGAAAAATTTATAAAAATTCGACTGTATCGGCAACCAGAGTATGTACAGGATGTTTGATAAGTAAATCTTTCGCATAGGAACAGACTAAACTGAGAAGAAAAATCCTCTACCATTTTACAATTTTCGCAATAGTTAACAAGATATTAATTACTAAAAATTGTTGAAAATTGGTCTTCAATAATTTTTTACTCAAATACCATCAACTTTATAGAAAAACTGCAAGAGACAAAAAACGATTTTTGTCTCTTGCAGTTTTTCTATAAAGTTGATGGTATTTGAGTAAAAAATTATTGAAGACCAATTTTCAACAATTTTTAGTAATTAATATCTTGTTAACTATTGCGAAAATTGTAAAATGGTAGAGGATTTTTTTCTCAGTTTAGTCTGTTCCTATGCGAAAGATTTATCGTTACTTATCGAACACCCTATATATATATATATATATATATATCATGGAATTATTCGAAATGGATTCTGATCGGAATTATTTGATTATTCCCTAGATTTCTATTGTATTTTCTAGGGAAGATGAAATAATTTCGATCGAAATTCATTCCGACTTGTTCCATGATAAATATCCAAAATGCAATTTTATAGAATAGAATCGATAATTTTGTTTTTTAAAATAAGTTCAATTGCCCAGAAAAATACAAGTCAATTTATTGATAATATGCCTTTGGATTTTATCTGGAAATAAGGAGTTTTGTACAAATTTAATCATTCCTTACCTCCTGTGATTATTGCAAATTTTTACTTCTATTAAAATTTATAGTTCATTATTGTGATTTGGTATATATTATTTTGATTTTGAATGATGTCCATTATCGAAGATACCATATTGGTATGGTGACTACACGTCCTTTATTGTAAAGTAAGTCAATGTAAAGGACAATTCTTTATTTTAGGTAGCTATCCTTCAGATTTGTTTCTTCAAAATTTAATCTTATCCTTTATTTTCCAATATTGTCTTTTACTGTCCTTTATTTTGACATTACGGGAAATTCTTTTCTAACTAACGTTCCAATGTCTAATATTATATTAATGAGCAAATTTTGATGGAAAATATTTTACAGTTTCATGCATATAAATACTTGTTTGATTTGTCTTTGTTAATTATATATATATTTCTTAATTTTTTAAATTAAATTTATTCAAACTAGAGTTCTCATTTTTATTATTTTGAACCTTTTATTATTTCAGATCAAGGGTTTGTTCCACCATGGCCGAATCAGTTTCAAACTCAGAAAACTGCGCATTATCTCAATTTGATTATACTGTGCAATAAAATTTTATAATACACAGATTCTTGAGTCACAAACTAGTTTGAAAACATGTCGGGACAAAGCCCTAAAATTTTCAGATTTGTCCTTCATTTTCTTTAAGAAAATATGGTCACTGTACATATTGGTGAAATGATGAATAAATTCAAACATGTGGAATATATACGTTCGAAACTTTAGTATACTTAAAAAATTTGTAAGAAAAGAATTACAAATAATTCATTATAAATTTATCTCTATAGTGAACTAATTGCATAACTGGAATTATTATTATTATGTATTATATTATATGGAACAGTGATATATATAGTTTTACATCTAAACAGCAATAACAATAATTTATACAACTAGTATTTTACAAAAATTGTTTTCATTTCAATGTCATACGAAATGCAATATGATTTGGATAATAAACGATTGCGAGATGTGTGATAAGTGAAAATTAAATTAATTGAATGCCAAGAGATACATACGTAATTATCTTAAGTGTAATTGTCGATAGATTCTCTTTTCTTTTTGCATACAAAAAAGTAATGACAATTCCTTAAACTTTATTGTTTTCTTTGTTAAATCTATTCAAGGAATCCACATTTAAGGCGCACATTGATGCACAAATATACATCTCATTTGATACAATAATTATACATTACAAACGCATACTTATATACATACATACGTATGAGCGCACCGGACGCATACATTTTAGATTTTTTCTTCCTTTTTATTTATCGTTTTCTCTTTGTAGCCATATTAAATTGTGACGTTGAAAAATGTCGAAAAATTACATTTTTCCTTTCTTGCACTGTATGACAAAATAAATGGATGTTCACTTATGAAGTGACCATTATTTAGTATAATATGGACTGATAAAATATATCGGAAAAACTTTTATTGTCCTGCATTAGAATAAATGAATATATAGATTTAATAATAGCTTAATGTATATAGATGTTCCGACTCCTATAACAAAACTAGATCTTATAGTAGACGACTTTGTAGCTATTTTTATTATGAACCGAAAAACGAATCTTTCACTTTATCAATTTATATTATTATACATTATTATATTATAATAATATATATTAATATTATATTATAATATGAAAAAAAGAAGTATTTTAATATATAATGCAAGAAAGAAAATTCATGACTCCTTGTTTCTGACATCAAAAATTCAACATAGCTGCAATGAAAAATCAAGCTTTAGGATACAAGCTTTAAGATATAAAGGGATAATATACACTTGGACGTCATCCGAATCAAAACTGGATTATTGAGAGATTATTTTGTTCCTGTATCATATAATTGGGACGGACCAGCAGCTTGATTAAAATATCTAGTGCTAGAACCTTTTATAAAGAAAATAATTGGAACTTTAACGTCCAGAGATGCTTTGAAAAATATTAATTTCAAAACATGCAATTATAGGATTTGTCTCTCGATCGGTTTGACCAACATACAGATATATTGTACATTGTCGAGTTCATCGAGTACATTTTGCCACATAAAATTAATGATGTTGCATACTCAGTATCTTGTTTAATAATCTGAATGGAAAAAAAGTATCCTGCATATTAAACCTTTCTCTACATAATATGTATAATATAATATAATAGAGTAACGAACACGATTTTCTTATGGGTTTTCAACAGTAAGCCATTCATTACATAAGCTTTAAATCTCAAGTCGTAAGAAACTGATCAATTATAGTCGATTATTCTTTTGACATTTGACTACGACAGGCCAATTTCTTAGGGCTCAAAACTTGAAGCTTAAATAATAACTTATTGTAGAATGCGCGTTAGAGATTGACATCTAAAGGGGAAAGATGTTTGTCATTATGACATTCACATCGGAGATGGATTTGCTATGAGTGTTATTAAGTAACCTTTGTAAGCTCTCAGTTCCTTTGGAAACAGAGAATTAAAGACTGCGTCCGTCCACCAACGATCCTAAACGCAAGTGCAGTTGTTATTACCAATACTATATAAGCAGATAATAAACTGGCTGCATATGCCTGATAACGATTGAGCAATGTCATACACGAGACAACCAGATGCGATCCAACCACCCAGATAATCTGTCCCCAATTCTTCTTGTCCAAGGCAAAGAAAAAGATGACACCCCAGAACGTGTGCAGGAGAATGAAACACAGAGTGGTAGCAGCCGATATTATAAAAAAGTATTCAGAACCCTGACGGAGTCCCATGGTACCAGGTCCCACTGCGTCAGCCAGGACATTGACTAAAGCAAAGGCACCGCTCATGAAGCCAAAACCCAAGCCACAAACGTAAGCAAATATGTGTCTGCTGTCAGCTACATGTGTCGTCGTGACTTTTTCCAAGCCTCTTTCAGCTTTACGCAGCACCCAATACAAGAGATACCTTTAAAGAGATAAAAACTTGTTTAAAAACACATCGGATACACATCGGTAATGAAATGAGATTGCAGTAGGGAGACTGGATTACCTGAAACCTTCCTGGAACAGTACCGAAAAGACCAGGCCAAACGCGAGATGTTGTTGTAGTGGAACGACAGCGTACCAAAGCACCGATGATAGCAGCAGGGATATGAGCCAAAAAAAAGCACTGACAATCAATATGATTATTCTGATGGGCTCGGCGGCGATGGTGAACATAAACATGGCTAGTGGCGGGCCGAAGGCCAAACAGGCACAACCAAAAAAATCCATAACGGTCATTTTCTCTTGGAATAGTCGCGACGTGAAGTCGCGATTTCCCTTCCTCTTTTCTTCCTTCCCTTATCGTTTTGTCGGCGCTAGTAAACGCTAAACTCTCTTACAATTCTAAGCCTCTTTACGGACCAGACACTCCCTCCTATCGGGCGCATTTATCTTCCCGGTATAGTGCTGTGTGCGCGGATCAGAAACTCGACAAATAATCGTGATCTAATCGTGATTGTGTTGGTCTGTTTTACGAAGATACAAAGCTCAAGTACATTGGAATCAAATCGAGTTACTCGCAAGTCACTAGTGTGACAATGTGTGACAACTCGTAGTGTAGATGATAATAATAATTCTGTCTCCTACGAACTCTACGTATCTAATCTTGCATGAGGTTATCGACAACACCATGGCTGCGTTCAGCAGACTCAACAGTTTTGCAACCGTTTTATGATTGGCTGCGTTCAGCAGACTCAACAGTTTTGCAACCGTTTTATGATTGTCTGCTGAGATAGGACCATTCTTCTAGATCTAAAAGTATGATCCAATTAGCGCGAAGGAAACTTCCAACAGTTGCAAAACAACCGTTCTGCTGAACGCAGCCGTTGATTGGTTGCTTCAATGACGCATTCTCTATTCCGCAGTCTTTTTCCACACCGTGTGATTTCACCCTTAGGCCGGAATCAGAATACTACGAAAATCGCCATTCGGTCGATATCTTAGATGTGAATGAAATCGATATATCGAATATGTATAATAAGATGCATCTACAATGGCTACGTTTACACCGTGCGCTTAGTCCGCGACCTATACGATAGGTGTCTTTGGCTACGTTTACACCGTGCATTTAGGCCGCGACCTATACAATAGATGTCCTTGTTTATCTCGTAGGTTAAACAAAGGCTACATTTACACCGTGCGCTTAGTCCGCGACCTATACGATAGGTGTCTTTGTTTAATATATGTAGCCATTGACCTAGTTTACATCGTGCACTTGGGCCGTGTTCCAAAATTGACTGCCAATACTGAAAATCTATAGTGCACGTAACGTAAACTGTAGCATTTTCAGTGTTGGCAGTAAATTTGGAACACAGTCTTGATACGGTTACTAACTAGTAACTTTCTATTAAATTATTTGAATTTCAGCGATATATTCAAAGAATGATGTATAATACTAAATTGATACAATATGCATCAATGATTAATTAAATATACATATCATATATGTTTACACATATCGCCGAAATTAAGATAATTCAATAGAAAGTTACTAGTTAGTACCGTATTAAGTGTACATACGATGTAAACTAATAGCGTTTTCGATTGGGAAAAAGTTAGTGCGCACCACTGCGCACTCAGTGCACACCAACACTGCACGAGTTCCATGGATTGCACTGAATAGTGCAAGTTCAAAAGAACACGCCAAGATTTTCAGTACTAAAGCTGAAGTGTCATTTCGAGTTGTAAGATTATAAGGATTTGACCAGAGCCTCCAATCTCCCCTTTTGTTTCGGCGTTATCACCGTTAGTCGCGCCGCCGCCGCTGTATGACACCCGGAAATATGAAACTAATGGCGAATTCGATTGGAAGAACTAGTGCACACTGGTGCATATTAAAGCCGTTGTATACTAATTTAATTTAATTTAAGTATAAAAATGAAATGCAAATATTTCGAATTATGAAATACGGTAATTATTCAGAATACCTCCCTCACCTCCGATTTCGATGAAATTAGGCTTATTCGATGCGTTTTTGCACAAAACGAAAGAATCTGGCAGAAAAAAGTGTCGCTCTGCCTCGCGAACCGAGATATTTAGCGTTAAAGTTGACGACTCTGCAGGTTAGGAAATCTGTCATACCGACTATGTGCACGAAATTTGAAATCAATGCTATAAAATAAATTAAACGTATGTAGTAGTGCTTAGACATTGTCCGCTTGGAATATTTGTAACCCATGTAGACAGTGGGGTGTATTGACAGTAATGCTTGGGTTCGGGCGGCGTAGCCGCCCGAACGGAAAAAAAAACAAACCTATCCGCTTGGGACCTAACCGTCTAGAAGTTACAGCTGAGACAGTGTCTGCTTGGAATATTTCTAACCCATGAAGACAGTTGGGTATGAGAATGGTTTTTTTACTGTCTAGTTAAAAAGACTGTTCTCATACCCCACTGTCTTCATGGGTTAGAAATATTCCAAGCGGACACTGTCTCAGCTGTAACTTCTAGACGGTTAGGTCCCAAGCGGGTAGGTTTTTTTTTT